TTAAAACATAAGAAATCAAGGGGTCACATACCCAAGAGCTTTGCAGAAGCTGCTTAGGCTTTTTTTCTTCATCCAAAGAGATTTCAGGTGAGGTTTTGGGTCAAGACCTGCAGGTGGGTTTGGGCATCTCCTGCCTGGGGGGCTCTCAGGGGCTGGGTGTGGACATCCCCAAGACCAGAGGCAGTTTTGGTGGGGGATTCGAATTCCTTCTGAAACAGGATCCAGATGTGGGGGAGGGCTCCAACAACAGCAAAACCCAATCCAGAAAAGAAGAAATTTAAATGGTTCAAAGAAACTTAAAATGGAGCTTTAAACCTTCCTGCAGAAGGGACAGATGATGGGCGTGGAAGGTCCCACAGGAGCAGAGGTTCCATCTGAGGAGGGAGAAGTCAGACAAAGTGTCAAAAAAGGGCTGGACTCCACATCAGTACACTCAGGAGGAAACTGTGAGTAACTGTCCCAACAACTAAACCTTCCTTTAATCTGGAAACGTAAGAGCAGGAAAGAGACAGTGAGTGTGTCCTGTGGCAGAAAAGCTACATGACTCATGGGCTCCGCTGGTTACCATGGAGCTGTTTACACATTGCTTTGTGATTGAAATAGAATCTCAAATAAAAAAATAAAAAACTAAAGAACTCTCCCCAAATGAAGTAAATAGAAGGAGGTTTGCGCAAGCTGGCAGCAGGGAGAGGAATAACTCAGCAGGCCAAGGAGGTTTCCAGGAGGAGTCCAAAGAGCTCAGGGATGAACCCACTGAGCCACTGATTCCCCCACAAACCGACTGCTCCTCCTGCTGCCAGACAGATGGGAGGTGGCAAGTGTGAAACTGGGGTTTGGGGCTTTTTTAAGGGCTCTGGGAGGAACGGAGGATAAAGAGACCAGAAAAACCTATCTCCCTTATTGAGCAAACTGCTCAGACTTCTAAAAGCTGGGATTCTTCTCGCAAGGAACAAGTGACAGGCCAAGAGGAAACAGCCTCAGGTTGTGCCAGGGGAGGTTTAGGTTGGATATTAGGAAAAAATCCTTCACAGAAGGGGTTGTGAAGCATGCAAACAGGCTGCCCAGGGCAGTGGTGGAGTCCCCATCCCTGGAGGGGTTTCCAAGCCATGGAGATATGGTGCTGAGGGACATGGGTCAGTGGGGACCTGGCAGTGCTGGGGGAACTGGGTTTTAAGTTCAGCAAAGCTGGTCTGGGGATCTCAAACCCCATGTTTATCACAAACAGCATCTCCCTGCTGTGTGTGGTGGTGAACACAGAACAGCCCTGCCCCTCCCTGCCCTCACCAGATGGGCACCAGATTATGTTGGTGGCAGGTTCCACACAAAAGAGGTGTGAAGCACCTTTCCATGGCCAGCATCAGTCTGTGGAGGTCTCTGCCACAGGACACTGCTACCACCAGAAGGCCCCATGGACTCAGAAAGGAATCACTCAAATTAATGGCAGCAAAATTCATCAGGTGACAGAAAGGGAGACGCAAACCTCTGGAGGTTCAAAAGGTTTTCCTGGAACCGTGGCTGTGAGTTTGCCACTGCCCTACAGTCATAAAATGATAGGATCATTTTGGTTGGAAGAGACCTTTAGGATCATGGAGTCCAACCGTTCCCCCAGCACTGCCAGGTCCCCACTGACCCATGTCCCTCACCACATCTCCAGGGCACTGGGGAAGCTCTCGGTTTGCTGTGGGTTTGTGGGCTGGGAAGGGACACCCAACTCCCAAACTGGGGCTGTTTGCATGGAAAAGCAGAAGGGAAATGAGAAATTCCTTCCTGCCAGGAGCCCTGGAAGCGGTGCTGGGTCCCGGCCAACATCCACCCCCCCGCCGCTCCCTTTGGTCTCCCCAAAGGTCAACCTCCCTTAGTCACTGCAGCTTTGTGTTTAGGAAATACCAGCGGGGATGTCCTGTCCCATGTGAGCAGGGCTGACCGTGGCCTCTGCCAAGCAGCTACAATAGACCTTTCCCTGCGGCCCCCCCGGGCTCCCCAGGGCCCAGCAAGTCTCCAAGAAATGCCTGGAGGAAAAGCCAGCCAGGCTCCAAGTGCCCGGGGCCAGGTCACCCCTGCACACTCAGCATCCTTCACCCCCTGCGGGTCTGCCCCAGGGCATGGGGAGCACAGGGGGAAGGGGAGATGCGCCCGATGGGTGCACGGGGCCAAACTGCCCCTAAAGATTTTCTGGTTTGAGAATATTCAAATACACAAGATCACAGACTGGCTTGGGTGGGAAGGGACCTTTCAAGGCCATCCAGTCCAACCCCCCTGCAGGGAGCAGGGACATCTGCAACTAGAGCAGGGTGCTCAGAGCCCCGGCCAACCTCCCCTGGAATGGTTCCAGGGATGGGGCAGTGACCACCTCTCTGGGCAGCCTGGGCCAGGGGCTCACCACCCTCAGGGTCAAACATTTCTTCCTTCTCTTTAGTCCAAATCTTCCTCTCAGTGCAGCCAAACAGCAAGGGAGCATCCCATCGCCAGGACACATGGGAAGGACGAGGCCTCACAGCCCCCAAAGCAGACAGCAAATGTCCCCAGGGCCCATTCTGTCCCCAGCTTGGTGAGAGAGCTCCAGGCTGACCCCAGACACCATGCTCTGAAGATACAAAATGGCTCTGCCTGTGAAATGAGGGTGATTTCAAGCCCACCTTCCAGCTGCCCTTGCAACATCCAAGTATATTTTGCTATTTCAGAGCAAAGAATGTTTTACTATTATTCCTCTTGGAGTATTTCTGCTTCTGTAAACCCTGAAAAGTTCAGGCACCACCCAGGCCTGGAGGTCTTGGGTGGGGCCAGCATTACACAGTTATGCTCCAGAAACTGCCTTAGTGTAAATTCCTGAGGCTTGTTGAAAAAAGCACATTCAGAGAATTTCTGTGGCAACTCCCACTTCCTGCTTCACAGGAAACCCCAGCAGACAGGGAGGAAAAATCAAACGAGGCTCACGCCCAAGTGGAGCAGAGATAAGAAATTTGGTTCTGATCCACCCCATGGAAAAATGCCATAAAATGCCAGCTCCTCAGAAGGCAAAAGACTGAATGTTTGCCAAGAGGCTAAAAATAAGCCAAAGAGGGCTATATTTAAAGGCACGCACTAGAGAAATGCAGTTTATTTAATCAAGGACAGAGGCAGCTTCCAGAAAAGCGCCCGCTGTTTCCCAGCGGTTTGGGGGGAGCTTTAGCAGCAGAGGGATAAACATTAAGTCCAAAACTTTCAACACGTTTTAGAACACCTAACTCGTGGTTAGAGCTGTGTCGGAGTCAGGGTTGCAGCTCTGGTGGCAATCTGGGGCCTTGCTGGCCTGGAGCAGAGAGGATTTCCATGCGTGACACCGTCCAGGAGCAGGGGCTGTGCTTGCACGTCCCCGCGTGGCTGCAGAAGCATCTTCATTCCAGTGGTTGACTTCACTTGGCCTGTTTCCGTTCATTCCTTAAAAATAAATCATCTTTTCCATGTAAATGGGGACTAGAAGTTCCTGCTACGGGGTGGCACGAGCATTTCCAACTGCGAGGAGTCCTCTGGGTGGCCTGGAAGGAGCCTCTTGGTCACTCCAGCCAAACATCAGAGTGACAGTTACCTCAGCTTGGCATGGTCAAGACTCCAGCATGCCTATGGAGAAAGTGTTGGTCCAAGGACAACCATCCAGGGGTTGGATGGTCCCCCACGTGAAAGACCTGTGCTAGAGCTCGCTGCACAGCACCATTTATCCTGAGTGCTAACCCCTGTTTACGTTACAAGAATGTGGTGGCTAAACAGAGCTCGGCCACAAATCACAGAAGGGATAGCTGGTCTGGTTAAACAAAGCATTCTTTTAATTCCAAGATTTTATAAATACTTATTTACAAAAGGAAAGTATCAATCCAAAGAGTTGAACAAACATACAGCTCCCAAGTATTGCTACAAGAGAGGGAGAGAAATCGTGTTGATGCAACCTCAGTTTACAAGACCCATTATTCAGAAAGAAACCACAGTCTGAATTTGAAACCCCTCCCCTGAAGTTCAGGACACCCACTGCTGCAAAAGCACAACCTGCCTCGAGCAGAGTTACACAAGGACCCGACCCCTCTGATGCAGCTTCTCCCCCAGAACTCTTCTGCCAGCTCAGGGAGCGCTGCTGGCCTGCTCTTCACCAGCCTACAAAGGGCCTTTTCCCAGGAGGGAGCACGGCTCGAGGCCAGCACGTGGATTTGGGAAACAACCCCTCCACGGAACCTGTGTGGAGGGGCTGGGGGGGAGACTCAGATCACATCACCCTCCAAAACCAGGCCTGCAACCTCCCTCCGTGCTGGGATTCCCTCTCCTGACACAGCCCTAGGGACAGGAGAGGGACTTCCCATAAATCACAGGCTTTAAGATGTTACTGAGAGCTCCAAGAACGCTTCAGATCAATAAAAGACCAGGGCTGCTCAGAATTCACTGCCTGCAGCTTCCAGGAGACTTCAAAACCTTCCCACTAAGCCAAGAGCAGCGTTTTCCCCCGTGGCCTTCACTGCAAGCGCCTCAGCGCCGTTCAGACAGCAGGAGGAGAGATGTGAAGGGAGAAAAGCACTGCCCAAACAGCACAAGGGGCAGCAAGGACCCCCAGAACAACAGCCAGCAACGTCCACAACTGGAACTAGCTGAGGCACCCACTGCCAGAGGAGCTGGGGCAGTTCTTGGGTAACAATCCTCAGCCTGGGCATGGGTTTCCTGAAGAAAGGTGTTCAGCAAATCCCTCTTCATTCATCCCCTAATTCTAAACCTATATGAAAGCCACCTAGGATAGGGTTTTTATTAATTGAATGTTTAGGCAAATTAATTCTACTTAATCAAACTAAAGAAAGGACTGAAACACAAACTGCTAGTGGAAAGTCGAATATAAGTTCTAGGAGTGTCAACCTGAAGTCTTGCACAATTTATTTACTTCTTTTAATTCACCCCTCACGTATGCAGCTCCCAAATCTCATGGTCAGAGCAACATTCCCTGCTGTCCACCGCTGGGAATACAGCCTGGCTCGAAGCTTCCACCACACTCAGGATGCTGTTTGGCCCTCTTTAGCCACAGTCTGCAGAAGGCAAGAAAAGAAAAAGAGAAAAAAAGGGGTGCAGGGGAACTATGTGACTCACTGCCAGGACTCTAGGGCAGGACATTCCTTTCTGCCAGCGACTGAGACCAGCCCGGGCCTCTGGTTAAACACAGCAGTGGTAGAGCCAATCAGAAGCAAATCCAGATACCAATGAGGACAATCCCACCACAGCCCCCGCAAAAGGCTGATCAGTGTTTGAGCTGCTGATCAGACTAGTGAGGGTAACTCCAGCAAACGTATGTGAACCTGCAGCAGCCAAAGCACCCGGCCTCAGAGTGGTTGGTGTAACAGAGCACACCTGGGGAACACAGTGAAAGCAAAGTTCAGTGACAGCTTAGAAGTGGAACAGGGGCTGGTTGTGCTGCAGGAACCTATGGAAAGAACAAAACCCAGCACTGGAGCAGAAGAAACTCAAGAAAAGCTGGTTGGAAGTGGGAAAAAATGTAAAAGGCAGCAGCAGTTCTGCAACATGCTGCTGCTGAAGGACAAGGACCTTGACAAGAACTCGATGCCAATAATTAAACATAGAATCATTAAGGTTGGAAAAGGCCTCTAAGATCAATAAGTCATCAACACAACACTCCCATGACCACTAAACCATGTCCCCAAGTGCCATATCTACATGTTTTTTTGAACCCCTCTAGGGATGGGGACTCCATCTTTAGTCATTTAATGAGTCAAAAATCCAAAAAGACTCCAGCACCTCCCTGGGTAGCCTGGCCCAATGCCTCACCACTCTTGCAGAAGAAATTTTCACACTCTTGCAAAGAAATTCTTCCTAATATCCCATCTAGACCTCCCCTGGTGTAGCTTAAGCCCATTTCCTCTTATCCTATTGCTAGTCACTTCGGAGAAGATTAATAAATCGCTCTGTGACTTATCTAAGGGGTCTCAAATTTACAAGGCAGCAAGGTGTGAGGATCCCCTCTGCAGAACTACAAACAGCAGCTCTTTCAGTCTTTCTTTTCCGTGGTCCAGGTGGAGGAAGGAAGCAGATGGACAGAAACAAATAGGACCAGGTTTCCAAAAGCCTGGAATTCTCACCTGCCGCAAGAACTGCTTCCCCAGGTAGCTGGTGGCCATGCTCGTCAAGTTCTTTCTGCTGCCAACTTTACACCTGATGTACCCATAAAGGTTGGCTCCCTGAAGCACCACTCCCATCACCACCACTGCCTAGGACACAGGAGAACACAGTGGCTGATGCAGTCCTGCCTCCAGCACAGGAGCTGGGACTGCAGGGACTCCACTCCCCAGCCACTTCACTTTGAAAGAAAAGAGCGCGCTGAAAGCAAAGATCACCCAGATCACAGGGCAGGTAATCAGACCTAACCAGAAAATTCGGGACTCTGCCTCTGACGAGGTTTTATTCCCTTGGGTTGATGCCTAGAAAGAAAGAAGAAGTTGAGTTGAACAGGCTGCTCCACTGTATCGATCACGTTGTCATTAAAACCAGCCCAGAATCTACAAGCCCCTAGTTGTTGCCTCCACACAACAGTAGTGAGAGCTTTTGAGGGCAACTTCTACATCACCTAAAGAGCTTTCTGCAACAGATGTTTCCACTTAAAGGAACCTTTTAGCAATTTTCTGTCAAAAACAGTGGAGGCAGCAGCATCAAACCCTCTTGGAATCCTTAGGGCTCGAAGACATTTACTGCCTGGTTCAGTTACAAAGCTTAGAAACAGCTATACAGGTCATGTCTGCTCCACATTGTTCCCAAATCACTGCACCTGAGTGCAGCCTAGCACTGCCAGACCCAAAGACTGACACTCCCAGGCACCACAGGACCCCAGCATGGTGGGGTTGGAAGGGACCTCTGGGGATCATCTTGTCCAACTCCCCCGCTCCAGCAGGTCACCCACAGCAGGTTGCCCAGGATCACATCCCAGCAGGATTGAAATCTCTCCAGAGGAGGAGACTCCACAAACTCTCTGGGCAGCCTGCTCCAGGCTCTGCCACCCTGACAGCAAAAAATTTTTTCCTTCTGTTCAGAGGGAACTTCCTGGGTTCCAGTTTGTGCCTGTTGCCCCTTGTCCTGTTGCTGGGCACCACTCACAAGAGTCTGGCCCCAGCCTCTTGCCTGCCCCCAAGATACTGAGAAGCTTTGAGAAGGTCCACTCTTAGTCTTTTCTTCTCCAGGCTCAAGAGCCCCAGGGCTCTCAGCCTTTCCTGGGCACAGAGATGCTCCAGCCCCTCAGCATATTCACAGCCTCTGCTGGACTCTCTCCAGTAGCTCCTTGTCTCTCTTGCACTGGGGAGCCCAGAACTGGCCACAGTACTCCAGATGTGGCCTCACCAGGGCAGAGTAAAGGGGAAGGAGAACTTCCCTTAGCCTGCTGGCCACACTTGTTCATACACCCCAGGAAAAATCGAAGTAGGGTAATATTTTCTTTCTACATACAGTGGTATGATTCACAACACAGTATTGATTTTAAAAAGTCTTTACAGAGCAGAAGCAAGCACTCACTTCTTCCTAAGACAGCTGAAAAATCTGGACTGCGTTAACTTACTGGTAAATTTACAGCATCTCCACTAGTCTAGCTATGTTCCCCTCCTCCCCCAGGATGTTCTAGCTTTTTTAAACTAGCATGGTTTTGAGAAGTAAGGGCTCAAACTCAGCTGGAGAAAGGTTCAGGCTTAGAATGTTTTAGCAGGTCCCTGTAGAGTGCAGGCCTCCCACGTGACCAGTGGAACTGATCTTCACCTCACTCCAGATCTATCTTCACCTCACCCCAGATCTGCAGACCATTAGCTCCATGCAGAGCTAAGAGACAGACACCAAGCAGGTAAACACATGCCATGTGGTGAGGTGCCTGAAAGATGGGATACTAGAGAGGCAGCAGGAGCAATCATAAGGACAATGGCAAAGCAAGAGCCATGCTCAATGCTCAAGATTTCTTCCTACTACCAGAAGTTTTCTACAGGAGGTAAAAACCACATCAGCTGTTCCAACTTTACACCAGAAAACTGCAGGTTCCTGCTGTGACGTGGGAACTTTTACTTGCTTTACACGTGGAACTTTCAGGTTACTTAGATTAAGCCAGATCAACATGTGATGAGAACTGTTAAATAATTCAATAATCACAAAGCTCACTCAGCAGTCTACACAGAACAAGCCCATGGTCACAGATCTGTGGCTGGAACTGAACGTTTACATTGTGCTGTCTACCACCACAAGCAGAACCATTAATTAACAGAGAATTCATAAACCAGAAACAATTAAAAGAAAAAAGGGAATGTACCTTCCTGGCTTCAAATACCCAGTGACTTCTGCCGTCGTCATCCACCTGGTTCCACCAGCGAAGGCCAACCATCAGTCGCCCCGTGACATTCTGAAAGAGAAGAAAAGCAGCACGTTTTGATCTTCTGCTAGAAGAAACCATTTGCCCAAGTTCAGCTTTTGGCTGGCTGTTTCCAGTGCTGCTTGTTTGCCTCATATTTGGGGCAACAAGATTACAAGGCTCTTATGTCCACAACTATTTTCTCAAACCACAGAATCATTAAGGTTGGAAGAGACCTCTAAGATCATCAAGTCCAACCATCAACCCAACACTCCCATGTCCTGAAGTGCCACATCTACATGTTTTTTTAACACCTCCAGGGATGGGGACTCCAGCACCTTCCTGGAAAGCTTGAGCCAATGCCTCATCACTCTGCCAGGAAAGAAATTCTTCCTAATATCCAGTCTAGAACTCCCCTGACACAATTTCAGCCCATTGCCTCTCATCCTACTGCTGCTTATGTCCAGTACAACACCACTTCATTACTGTGAGGCATATTTCTGTGGATTTGAAAGTTATCTGATAATGAAGCCTGTGCTACCGCATTGTTTGTGGGAAAGGCACAAAGAAGTGACTGGATTTGTGACACAAATATCACTGCTCAATTATTCTACAGTAAGATAAAGATAAAAATCAAAAGAGGAACTTACTTTTACAACCCAAAAGTCGGACGACAGGAGGAGGATGATTGTCACCATGCATGCAATAAAGCTGCTAGTTAGGAGCTCACAAAGCAGATAGACAACTATCGCAGTGACTCGGAAGAACAAGTGGAAGAAGGATGCCACGGGATGCCTGGAAGGAAGCACAGCACAGTCATGTCCACACCAGGATGGTCCAACACAGCCCAGCACCAGGACTGAAGGTGCTGGAGAAATGACACTGCCAAGGTGACCTCCTGCCAACTCACAGGGATCAGCACTGTCATGAAACCAGCGTGCAACAACTGCTGAAAATATGGGAAATAAACAGACTAGAAGCTCACCGTAAGGCAGACGTCTGCTATGTGCTGCCATAGCGCACGTGCAGACAGGATTTGGGGTGGGACACCCAAGGGAAGAGTTTTACCCAATGTTCAGTATCAGGCAGTTTTAACAGGGTCAATTTAGAAAGGGTCTGACAGAGGAAACGCCTCAGAAGGAGAGCTCACACTTCTCACCACGGCAGACTCTCCCTTATTTCTGATTTCTGCCATCCAGTCCAGTCCTTCCTCCCTCAACCTTCCACCCAGAACTCATCTAAAAACAGTCTCTATACCACCAACCTTATTTTTGACTTTTTTGATCTCCTGGACGCATCATCATCTGCATCAAAGAGTGACACATCTTCAATGTCATCACTGCTGTCCTACAGAAGCAAACAGAAGCAAAGACTGATATCAGACAAGATGTTTCCAACTTCAAGCAGGGGTGGTTTTGATTACTCAAAAATATTATGTCACCTTAATATCAAAATGAATTTAGGAAAAATGTGAAGGTTTAACCACATACAAAACAAAAAAATCAGTATTAAAAGTTTTGGTTTGTGCTGTGTGAAAACCACACACACTCCAAGCGTGAGTCCAGGGTTCCTTTCTGCAACCAAGCAGTTAATGTGACAGCCCAGCCTATGGCCTCGTATTCCATGCTCTTAAGTGAGCTCACTGCCTTATGCAAAAGATTCTCCAAATCAGGCACAGACCCACATCCTCCTGCACTTCAGTGATGGAGAAATGAGGATTTCATTACTGGTGATGGAATCAGAATTATTTTTACGGACAGGACGCACCCCTGTCACAGG